GTTCTCCTGCTTCCAGTGGCTTTGTTCCAAGGAGTTTTTCTAGTGTTTCCAAGTACGGTTAGTGGATTGCTAACAAGTTCCGGGTCTGAGCAGTTTTGCTGTGGGTTTTTGATCCTGTTCATGGACATTTCTTGTTGCTGATTTTACCTGTGGCTTTTTACCTTTGCATATTTCTTATATTTTGTACTCATCTTTCATCAATAAAAAGGATTGGTTTTTCCTGAAGTCAAGTGTGGTGGATTGTTGTCTGAGGGTCCAGTTTCCTGCTCTGGGTTGCAACAGAACTCTTGGATTGGACTACCGCTTGAATTGGTGAGATTGCTTGATTTTTCCTGACAGCATGGGCAAACTTCTGCCCTCCAGGTGTTTTGGACTTCAACTCCAGTAGGCTGTTAGGAATTGTGGGAGTTGAAGTCCAAAACACCGGGAGAGAGGGACGAAGTTGGCCCAGGCCTGGTTTGATAGGACACACTGAATGTGCCTTTTGATTAACTTGTTACTGTCTAAATAAATTAGTTGTTTGGCCCAAGCCTTTCATTTCTTTGAGTCAGAGGACTCCCAAAACAATGCTTCTGAACTCTCAAGTTAGCCAAAGACCTGCTTTCTGGCCCAATGAGCGCCAAAGAGGACCATCATTGCAAGCAAGTCTCTCCTCAGGCTGGATCTGTTGTGGCTGAGATGTTCTCTGATGATGAGGATGATGGGATTCAGATTCCTGGCTCTTTTTCTGTGCCTCAGATCTCTGGGCCTGCTTCTAGGTCTTTTTCTGAGGCTCCCACAGACAGTGCAGAGTCAACACAGCGGTTCTCAGAAGAAGAAGAAAGGAATGCTAACGAAGTAGATAGCGAAGAGGTAGAGAGGCCTTTGCCTCCTTCCCACGCTGATAGTGAAAGTGCAGAAAGCCTTGATAGTGACCTGACCCGGCAAGCCCATCTTGATTTGCAGTTCAGGTGGCGTTCTCGTCTTGCTGGCATACGAGAAGCCAGCTCGGGGAAAGGTCATCGCAATGCTTTCATGTTGGTGAGAGCATAATGTTTTCATGTTATAAAGGTATTTAGGCTTCTTGCAAACAAAGAGAAAGTGTCAGTTCAATGTAGCTTGTTAGCCTGAAAGCTTCATGGAATAACCTTAGCTGGAAAGCAGCACGCTTGGGATTTCTTGCATTGTGATTCTTGGGTAATTGTTTCCTTGCTTGTACCTTGAACTCTGTTTTGAACTTTGCCTATAGGATTGTGCCTCTTGTTTTTACCTGAACATCTTTGGAACTATATTCTGCATTTAACCTAAATCTTTGGAACTTTACAGTGCTTATTCTTTATTTTGACTTGGACTTTTGTGTGGTGCTGTTTGGAAGCAAGGCAAAGCTTACTCTGAGTTGCAACAGGATCTACAGCCAATGCGGATGAAGGGTCAATGCTGCTAACCTTCCCCTGTGACAGCCTACCCCAGCGGTCACTCACCCCTGGCCTGCTCCGCAGCCGCGATGGCCTGGATCAGCAGCCGGGCATTCGACTCGGTGTACTCCACGAAGACAAGGAGCAGCTTCAGGGCCGTCTTGACCACCAGGCGGTACTAGGAGGAGAAGAGGGGTGCTGTCATTCAACCCTCTAGGGGGTCTCTCTTGACTCATACTCCTCCCTTGGAGGCGGAGCTTAGGACAAAGTCCCGCCCACCACAAGTCCCGCCCTCTTCCTGGGGTTGTGCACCAAGCAGACGAATATCCACCTTGTCCAAAAAGGGACCAACCCAATAGGAAAAAGCCACCATCCTATTGGACCTCAAGGCAAGAAAGAGGACTCACCATGCTTCCACAGAGCGTGTAGAGCCATTGCACCGTGGCGTTGTGGCCGATCACTCCCATCATCCCGTCCACAAACAGCATGATCTGGCTCAGCGCTGGAAGGAGAGAGGTCCTGTGAGGGGGGGCACCCCACTTTTGCAGGAAACCCCCTGAAACGACACCCTCCTCCTCCTCCTCCTCACTGGTTTTCCCCTCCCCTGGATTGCTGGCTTTGGGGAAGCAGCATGACCCGATCCTCTTGGCATTGCAAAGGCAAAACAGGGAGACCCTCCCCCCTCCCCCACAAGCCTCCTTGTGGGTTTAACTGGGGCAACACCTTGATAAGAGACCCCTCTCCCCCCCTCCCAGACGCAGGCGTCTCACCTCGGAGGATGTAGTTCTGGTAATTCTGGTCGGCCTCGGCCCCCACCGTGATGAGGCAGGTCAGCCCCCCCAAACTCACAAACTCCGGCACCAGGTCCTTGTCCTCCTGCGGCAGAAGGTCAGGGTCGGGGTCAGGGGACAGGGTCAGGTTTAGGATCAGGGGTCGGGTTTAAGGCAGGGGTCATGGCCATGGTCAGGTTCAGGGTGGGGATCTGGGTCAGGTGTCAGGTTCAGGGATCATGGCCATACTCAGGTTTAGGGTCTCTGTATAGCGACCTCTTTTAGGGTCCCCGTTCAGGGCCAGGGGTCATGGCCATGGCCAGGTTTAGGGGTCAGGTTTAGGGCTAGGGTCATGGCCATGTCAGGTTCAGTGTTGGGATCAGGGTCAGGTGTCCGGTTCAGGGGTCATGGCCATACTCAGGATTAGGGTCTCCGTATCGCGATCTCTGTTTAGGGTTTCCATTCAGGGCCAGGGGTCATGGCCATGGCCAGGTTTAGCGGGATGTAAATAAACATAATAATAATCATAACAGGGTCAGGATTAGGCTCAGGGTCAGGATCAGGGTTGGGGTCACATGTCAGGAATCATGGCTATGGTCAGGATCATAGTCAGGGATTATGGCCATGGTTGGGGGTCAGGTTCAGTATTAGGGCCAGAGGTGAGGTATAATGACCATGGTTAGGGGTCAGGTTGAGGGATCATGTCCAGGGGTCATGAGTTAGAGTCAGGGGACAGGATCAGGGGTCAGGTTTAGGGCAGGGGTCATGGCCATGGTCAGGTTCAGTGTTGGGATCAGGGTCGGGTTCAGGGATCATGGCCATACTCAGGATGAGGGTCTCCGTATAGCGATTTCCGTTTCGGGTCCCCATTCAGGGCCAGGGGTCATGGCCATGGCCAGGTTTAGCGGGATGTAAATAAACATAATAATAATCATAATAGGGTCAGGATTAGGATCAAGGTTGGGTTCAAGGATCAGGTTCAGGGGTCACAGCCAAGTCTAGCCACTTTGAGTCTCCATATGGAGAGAAAAAGCCGGATATAAATAAACATAATCATAATCATAATGATAGAGTCAGGGTTGGGATCAGAGGTCAGGTTTAGGGTCAGGATCAGGATCAGGGTTGGGGGTCAGGTTCAGCATCATGGCCAGGGGTCAGGAATAATGACCATGGTTAGGGGTCAGGTTGAGGGATCCTGTCCAGGGGTCATGAGTTAGAGTCAGGGGACAGGATCAAGTTTAGGATCAGGGGTCAGGTTTAGGGCTGGGGTCATGGCCATGGTCAGGTTCAGGGTGGGGATCAGGGTCAGGTGTCAGGTTCAGGGATCATGGCCATACTCAGGATGAGGGTCTCCGTATAGCGATCTCTGTTTAGGGTCCCCATTCAGGGCCAGGGGTCATGGCCATGGCCAGGTTTAGCGGGATGTGAATAAACATAATAATCATCATAATAGGGTCAGGATTAGGGTCAGGTTCAGGGGTCATGGCGAAGTTTAGCCACTTTGAGTCTCCATATGGAGAGAAAAAGCAGAATATAAATAAACATAATAATAATCATAATGATAGGGTCACGGTTGGGACCAGAGGTCAGGTTTAGGGTCAGGATCAGGATTGGGGTCACAGGTCAGGAATCATGGCTATGGTCAGGATCATGGTCAGGGATCATGGCCATGGTTGGGGGTCAGGTTCAGTATCAATGCCAGGGGTCAGGAATAATTACCATGGTTAGGGGTCAGGTTGAGGGATCATGGCCATACTCAGGATTAGGGTCTCCGTTCAGGGGTCATGGCCATGTTTAGCAGGATGTAAATAAACATGATAACAACCATAATAGGGCCAAGGTCAGGATTGGGACTGGGTCAGGTTTAGGATTAGGATCAGGGTTGGGTTCAAGGATCAGGTTCAGGGGTCACGGCTAAGTTTAGCCACTTTGAGTCTCCGTATGGAGAGAAAAAGCAGAATATAAATAAACATAATAATAATCATAATGATAGGGTCAGGGTTGGGACCAGAGGTCAGGTTTAGGGTCAGGATCAGAGTTGGGGTCAGAGGTCAGGAATCATGACTATGGTCAGGATCATGGTCAGGGATCGTGGCCATGGTTGGGGGTCAGGTTCAGTATCAGGGCCAGGGGTCAGGAATAATGACCACGGTTAGGGGTCAGGTTGAGGGATCCTGTCCAGGGGTCATGAGTTAGGGTCACTTCACTTTTGGGGAGGGTCTCCCTCCCTCCCTTGCCCTCCAGTGGCACCAGTGCCAAGGAGGATGTGCTGGCCTCTCGACCAGTTGGTCGGCCATTGAGAGCCACTGGGCGCAGATGCCAAGCCCTGCCCGTCTCCCTGATGGCCGCAGCAAGACCAGAATCCCACAAGGGAAGGAAAGGGGGGACGGGGCAGTTGCAGCCCCTCTTCTAAGGTCTCAGAGGTCGAAGGGGTCCAATGGGGAACGACTGGGGGTCTGCATTGGTGTTTGTATATGTGTGTGTCTGCCCAGGTGGCCTGCTCACCTGGAAGAGCTGCTTCAAGGAGAAGAGGGAGCGCCTCAGCTCCGGCCCTTTGGCCGTGTAGAGCTTGTCTGAAAGAGAAAAGGGGGGCAGGAAGAGTGGGGGGTCACCAAGCGGGGCTGGGGGCTTCACCTGCCATGCAAAAAGCTACACAAATGCTATTTAAACAAAGTAAGAAAACATTAAGGGTAAAAATAGAGTTGAGCAAAAACAACAACAACAACAACACGGTCAGCAGACATACACAAGAAATCCTAGGGGACCCCCCCCCCCCGAAGATGTAGCAATGGAAATCTGTGAGGGAACTTCCTCTTTTACGTTTCCTTGCCCTGGTTTCACTGTGTGGCCTCCGCCATTGTCTCTTCTGCCTTTTCTTCCTTACAGAGAGGACGCATTTTGCCTCTTTCTGGGCAAAAAGTAGCTGCATGGACCTTTTTACCCTTTTTTAGAAGATGAGACTGAGTGAGCTAGTGAGCAATAAGGCCTTTTCTATCTAGGATTTATTATTATTATTGCTCTGTTACTGTCATTTTAATTATATTAGTGAGAAGAGGGTCTTCACACACATCCCAATTCTGCCATGCCCCCCCCCCCCCCACCAAACTTCGCTGATCCGTTTCCAAGCTGCAGCCTGTTTCCGGCCCGCCTTCCTGTTTCCTGCATTGCGGCATAAATATCTCCAAAGGGTTGTTTCCTGCGCAGAGAAGAGCTTAGAACAACAAACAAACACGCACACGGCTTGGTCCTGGAGCGGGATCATGGGATCCCAACCCTCAGACCACGCGACAGGGGAGGGATCCTGCCCCCATTCTTCACACATGCAATTTCATACTGATGTGGCATTTCAGGGTTGTGCAATGGTGATTACAACAGGCCTGGGCCAACTTGGGCCCTCCAGGTGTTTTGGACTCCAACTCCCACCATTCCTAACAGCCTACCGGCTGTTAGGAATGGTGGGAGTTGGAGTCCAAAACACCTGGAGGGCCCAAGTTGGCCCAGGCCCGGATGTGTTGCTTTTGTAATTTATTTATTTATTTCTTGTGTCATATTACATTTCTAACAGAACAAAGCAAACAAACAAGAGAAAATACAAAATGTGTGAGTTTGGTAGTTGGTTAAATGTCCTTTGACCAGTCTCTGGCCACTTGGAGTGCCTCTGGTGTTGCCGCAAGGAGGTCATCCTCCCTGGTGCATGTGGCAGGGCTCAGGGTGCATTGCAGCAGGTGGTCAGTGGTTGGCTCTTCTCCGCACTCGCATGTCGTGGACTCCACTTTGCGGCCCCATTTCTTGAGGTTGGCTCTGCAGTCTGTTCAGTGCCTTCCAAGTCTGTGTGCCCAGGGGGGAGTCTCTCATCTGGTATCAGCCATTGATTGAGATTCTGGGTTTGAGCCTGCCACTTTTGGACTCTCACTTGCTGAGATGTTCCAGCAAGTGTCTCTGTAGATCTTAGAAAACTATTTCTTGATTTAAGTCATTGACATGCTGGCTGATACAGGGGATGAGATGGAGATGTCTCTGCCTTGGTCCTTTCACTATTGGCTGCTAGTTCTCAGCGGATGTCAGTCAGGTGGTGCAATACCGGCTAAGCAGTGTAATTTCTCCAGTGGTGGAGGGCGCAGACGCCCTGTGATAATGCGGCATGTCTCATGAAGAGCCACATCCACTGTTTGAGCGTGGTGAGATGTGTTCCACACTGGGCATGCGTACTCAGCAGCAGAGTAGCATAGCGCAAGGGCAGATGTCTTCACTGTGTCTGGTTGTGATCCCCAGGTTGTGCCAGTCAGCTTTTGTATGATATTGTTCCTAGCACCCACTTTTTGCTTGATGTTCAGGCAGTGCTTCTTGTAGGTCAGAGCACGGTCCAGAGTGACTCCTCCCAGGGATTTGTATGCGCTGCAATGCTGCCGTGGGATTCCTTCCTTCCCAGGTAATGATCTTCAGAGCTCGGGATGCTTCTCTGTCCTTGAGATGAAAGGCACATGTCTGTGTTTTAGATGGATTAGGGATCAGTTGGTTTTCCCTGGAATAGGCAGTAAGGGCACCTAGAGCATCGGAGAGCTTCTGTTCTACCATCTCAAAACTCCCTGCTTGAGCGGTGATGGCACGATCATCAGCATAGATCAAACTCTCTGTCCCTTCTGGCAGTGGCTGGTCATTTGTGTAGATGTTGAACATGGATGGAGCAAGCACACTTTTTGTAATGCGTGCAGATCTATAATGTGATTGGGAGTGGCCTTTAATTTCAATGTGAACGACAAGAATGAAGCTGTTGTGTTCTGGAAGAGGGATCGGCCCCGGGGGGGGGGGGGGGGGGGGGGGGGGACGGGAGGAGCGCAGCCTTCTTGGCTTGGCCTCCCTCCGCTGCCCGCTTCTCCAAAGTGTCCTATTTTTAAGCAGCAGCCGGACATACCCAGCCATGCCATCCAAAGGCTTAAATTAACCCCGTGCCCTCAAAACATGTTGCAGCTCCTTTCTCATCCCCGTCCTTCCTGGTTGTTGTTTTCCAAGAGCAGAGTCCTGAAACGACCCGGAAACTCAAGGGCCAGGGGCAGCAGGGAGGGGCTTGTGCCCCCGACCCAAAAGATTCCCCTCAACCAAGTGGCGAGAATTCAGAACCTACTCAACCTAGGTGGACTGAATCAAAAATTAAAGCTAGTCAAATATTACTAAAAGGTCTGCTCCCCTTCTGCCCCACTCCCAGAATGGATCACTGCATTTGCTTTCCCGGTACCCTTCTTAGACAGGAAGGTTGCCTTTGCAGAGACTGGCAGAGAAAGGGATTTCTGCAATGCAGTGTGTGTGTGTGGGGGGGGGGGGTTCTTGCAATGCAGCGGAGGGAGTCCCATATTGTAATCGAGGGGTTCCCACAATGCAATTGAGGGGTTCCCACAATGCAATTGAGGGGTTCCTGCAATGCAGCGGAGGGGTTCTTGCAATGAGGCAGAGGGTTCTTGCAATGCAGTGGAGGGGTTCTTTCAATGTAGTGGAGGGATTCCCACAATGCAATGGAGGGATTCCCGCAATGCAGTGGAGGGATTCTTGTAATGCAGTGGAGGGGTTCTTGCAATGCAGTGGAGGGATTCCCACAATGCAATAGAGGGGTTCCTATAATGCAGTGGAGGGGTTCCTGCAATGCAGCGAAGGGGTTCCTATAATGCAGTGAAGGGGTTCCTGCAATGCAGTGAAGGGGTTCCTGCAATGCAGTGGAGGGATTTTTGTAATGCAGTGGAGGGATTCCTGCAATGCAATGGAGGGGTTCGTGTAATGCAGTGGAAGGGTTCCCGCAATGCAGTGGAGGGGTTCTTGCAATGCAGTGGAGGGATTCCCACAATGCAATAGAGGGGTTCCTATAATGCAGTGGAGGGGTTCCCGCAATGCAGCGAAGGGGTTCCCGCAATGCAGTGGAGGGGTTCCTATAATGCAGTGGAGGGGTTCCTATAATGCAGTGAAGGGGTTCCTGCAATGCAGTGGAGGGATTTTTGTAATGCAGTGGAGGGATTCCTGCAATGCAATGGACGGGTTCGTGTAATGCAGTGGAAGGGTTCCCGCAATGCAGTGGAGGGGTTCTTGCAATGCAGTGGAGGGGTTCCCGCAATACAGCGGAGTTCTCGCAATGCAGTGGAGGGGTTCTTGCAATGCAGTGGAGGGATTCTCATAATGCAGCGGAGGGGTTCCCGCAATACAGCGGAGTTCTTGTGATGCAGTGGAGGGGTTCTCGCAATGCAGTGGAGGGGTTCTTGCAATGCAGTGGAGGGATTCTCATAATGCAGTGGAGGGGTTCCCGCAATACAGCGGAGTTCTCGCAATGCAGTGGAGGGGTTCTTGCAATGCAATGAAGGGGTTCTTGCAATGCAGTGGAGGGATTCTCATAATGCAGCGGAGGGGTTCCCGCAATACAGCGGAGTTCTTGCGATGCAGTGGAGGGGTTCTCGCAATGCAGTGGAGGGGTTCTTGCAATGCAAAGGAGGGCTTCCCGCATTGCAGGCAGAGCCTCTCCTTCTCCCTCTCCCTGCCCCCTTCCCCACAGCAAACAGTCCCCCTGCCTTTTGACCTCATTGCAGGATTCAAGGTGTTTGTGCTCTGGACCAGAATCGTTCCAGAGCCTTGCGATGCTCCTCCGGTTGCATCAACCCGTTCTATGTATTCCTGAATTCTGACCCCCGCTGCCTCCCCACCTCCAAATCCCCTCTTCTCTGCATCCTTCCTTCTCCTTCTGTAAAGGAAGTGAGGGAGTACCGGCACTCTGGTGCTGACTTTTCCAAAGAGGGGGGGTCATTATTGTGTACAGTTGCTCTGTCTGCAAAGGCTCTGCCTGCAAGGCTTGGAAAAGAGAACTTGCCCTTTGGACAGGTCTTGTTTTCAAGTTGTGCTGACCCATTCTTTTGGAAGCCTCTCTCTCAGCTTGGGTGGATGCCTTCCCAGCAAGCCCAGTGACCCCCATAGGGACTTTCCCATTAGAGTTGGGCTGAAAGGGAAGGGTCCGTCCATAGGCCCCTTCCCCTCTCTGCAAGGGAGCGCAAGGCGGTCATTTGGGCACATCAAGGCAGGCGGGCAGTGGCTCCCCGGACGGACGGACGGACGGACGGATGCACCCAAGTGCCTCCTCTTCCCGCAGAGCCAGAACCATCGCCCTCTTCATCCAGGGAAAGCCAGCGCTGGGAGGCTTGCAAGGAAAGGTGGGCCAGGCAAAGGTTGCGTAACAAGCATTTTTGTCTCAAGGAGGGGCCGGGGGGGGGGGGGGGGGAATCACACTCTTTAGATGGAACTCTTTTTAATGTTTGCATATTTCTGGATATTAAATTGTATGCGGATGCTTTTATGTTAAGCGCTTTGAGCCTCCTTTGGGAGAAATAAGCGGGGTATAAATAATAACAACAACAACAACAACAACAACAATAACAACAGATACATAGCTGCTTTGAGCCTCCCTCCAGAGAGATAAAGTGGGTTATAAATATAATAACAATGATGATGATGATAATAATGATATTATAATAATAATAATAATAATAATAATAATAATAATAATAATAGATACATAGCTGCTTTGAGCCTCCTTCAGGAGAGATAAAGCGGGGTATAAATAATAATAATAATAATAATAATAATAATAATAATAGATACATAGCTGCTTTGCGCCTCCTTCAGGAGAGATAAAGCGGGGTATAAATAATCATAGATAGATAGCTGCTTTGAGCCTCCTTTGTGAGAGATAAAGTGGGGTAATAATAATAATAACAACATCAACAACTCTGCAAGGAAGCAGATGAAACAATAGATCCCATCCTCAGCAGCTGCAAGAAGATCACACAGACAGACTACAAGCAGAAGCACAACACCGTTGCTCAGGTGATTCACTGGACTCAGACCGGCTAACAACAGAAAATCAATATACAAATAAACTAAAGCATAATAACATCATAGTACATCAATACATTAAAACATATCAAAATACAGATCAAGAATAACATAAAGCCAATTCCTCAAGGTAAATCACAAATTCACCACCATCCGCCTTGTGGTCAACAGACCCAAGATTTTACCATCTTTCTGAAAGTCAGGAGGTCGGGGGCAAATGTGATCTCTATCGAGAGAGAGTTCCACAGCTGAGGGGCCACCACCAAGAAGGTCCTGTCTCTCGTCCCCACCAGACGCGATTGCGAAAGCGGTGGGGAGCAGGGCCCCTCCAGAAGATCTTAACAACCTTGATGGTTCGTAGGGGAGAATCCGTTCGGACAGGTAAACAGGGCCGGAGTCGTTTAGGGCTTTATAGGTCAACACGAGCACTTTGAATTGTGCTCAGAAGCCGACTGGCAGCCAGTGGAGCTGGCGCAAGAGAGGAGTAGTACGCTCCCTGTACCCCGCTCCCGTTAGTAATCTGGCTGCCAATCTTCTACCTCTGGGCCACAACCTGGGCGCAGAAGCAGCGGCAGCACCTGATCTGCCTTGTCGCCCTCTTGCAAGAGCCTTGCCAGGATCCACCCTCAGGGCTCCGGAAATGCCGTCAAGGCAGACAAGGCTGGAGGGGCCCGGCGCTGAGTCAGAAGGAAGCCGGGAGTGAGGCAGACACAGAAGGAGAAGCCCTTGCCAGTTCACAGAGGAACCAGCCAAAACGGCAGTGAGGAAGGAAGGAAGGAAGGAAGGAAGGAAGGAAGGAAGGAAGGAAGGAAGGAAGGAAGGAAGGAAGGAAGGAAGGAGGTGGCTGGCAGGCCGGCAGGCCATGCCCGTTCCCCCAGCTGACGAGCAAAGGGAGCTTTCCTGCAGGGATAGGGGTAAATAAATAAATACCGTATTTATTTACTTGAGCCTAATGCACCATCAAATCTAATGCGCACCTCAATTTTCCAAAGTCTGAAACCAAATAAGCCTCACAAGCGCGTCTGGTGGGGACGAGGGACAGGGCCTTCTCGGTGGTGGCCCCTCGACTCTGGAACTCCCTTCCACTGGAGATCAGAACTGCCCCTTCTATCCTGACGTTCAGAAGACAGGTGAAAACTTGGCTCTGGAAATTGGCATTCGACGAATGAGCCACGATCCCCTGATATGGGTGGATGATGACGAATCAGTGATTTCTTTTGATGACGACTGACCATTGTCATTTATATGACTGTATTTTGCTATTTTAATGTTTTAATGTTTTAGTGTGATTTAGAATTTGACGTTTTTAGTGCCCGTCTGTAATATTGATGTTGGAAACTGGCCTGAGTCCCTTGAACGGAGGTGAGAAGAAGACCGGGAAACAAAACTGCTGAATAAATAAATAAATAATGAATAAAGTGTTGTGCATCATGGTGAGAAGAGCTCTCTTTGTCACTTGACCATGACAGTTGCCACCGGCCTGCTGGGAACTCCTCTGAAGACAAAGGTGTTTGAGCACCTACGCTTCCAGCAATGGAAAGGAAGTGCAGCTGTGTTGCAGAACGAATCCACTTTAACTGCCCATGCTATGGAATCATGGGGGACGTAGTTTTCCAAGGTCTTGAGCCTCCTCTGCTATCTCTGTTTAGGGCCACGATGGCGAACCTAGGACACGCGTGTCAGCACTGACACGCATAGCCATTTTCAATGACACACAGCCACATGCGGCTGCATACAGAGAAGTATAGGGCTGCATCGGGATTTGTGTATAGCGCCAAATCCCGAAGGGTGCCCCCCCCACCCCCACCCCCACCCCGGCCATGGGTTGCTTGCTCGCTCGCTCGCTCCTCCAAGCAGTCTTTTTTTCTTCTCGAAGTGGCACCCCACCTGAATTATGCTCATTTTTAAGTGAATTTTGACACACCGAGCTCAAAAGGTTGCCCATCACTGGTTTAGGGTCTCCATTCAAGGCCAGGGGTCATGGCCAGGGCCAGGTTTAGTGGGATGTAAATAAACATAATAATCATCATAATAGGGTCAGGGTCTGGACTGGGACTGGGTCAGGTTCAGGGTTAGGATCAGGGTTGGGTTTAAGGAGCAGGTTCAGGTTTAGCCACTTTAAGTCTCCGCACGGAGAGGAAAAGCAGACATAATAACAATCATAATGATAGGGTCAGGGTTGGGATCACACGTCAGGGGTCACAGTTTCCCAAGGCCTTGAGCCTCCTCTGCTAGAGGCTGAAGCCTCACCAAACTACAAATCCCAGCATTGCATAGCACGGAGACATCGCTATTAAAGGAGAGATGACATCCCTCAAAGAGGAGCTCCTGAAGCAGCTTCCTCTTTGGCTTTGGCTCCGCAGTAAGATGACCGCATGACGTGAATCTTATGTGCGCCCCAACTTGGTTGAGGTCATTGAGCCCCAAAAGGTGAGCATTAGATAATAATAATAATAATAATAATAATACTTTATTTATACCCCGCTCCATCTCCCCAGGGGACTCGGTGCGGCTTACATGAGGCCATGTCCATAGGTTTTTAAATCCTTGTGTGTTATTGTTTATATGTGATTTATATTAATTGTATTGTATTTATTGTTTTGTTTATTGCTTTTGTTTATTGATGTACTGATGGACATGGCCTCATGTAAGCCCTACATTGTAATACAAAAGCATTGTAATACAAAAACACAGAAAATAAAATGCATAAAATGCAAAAAAATATAATAAACGAAACAAACAATATAAAACAAGCAGGATTTCACTGGGCAGGGCCACATTCAAGGCTAAAAAAATCAAAAACTGGGAGGTAGGACAACATAAATAATCAGGATGAGGATCTGAGAATGAGGGAGGATTCAATGGCACGAACCATAAATAAAGTGCTTCTAAGGACATTTAGTGCAAAGTTGGATCAGGGAGTTCTTACATTCAGTCACTGAAGGCACATTGGAAGAGCCAGGTTTTTAGGTCCCTCCTGAAGACTGCTAGTGTGGGGGCTGCCTAATATCTCTGGGGAGTGAGTTCCAGAGCCAGGGGGCCACCACAGAGAAGGCCCTCTCTCTTGTCCCCACAAGTTGCACTTGTGATGCGGGCAGGAGCGAGGGAAAAGCCTCTCCAGAAGATCGAAGGGATCGTGTGGGTTTGTAGATGGAAATACAGTTGCGCAAGTAGGTAGGTAGGTAGGTCCTAAACCGTTCAGGGCTTTGTAGGTCAAGACCTGCACCTTGAATTGGGGCCGGAAAACAAACGGCAGCCAATGGAGCTCCTTAAACAGGAGGGTTGACCGCTCCCTGTAATTCACATCAGTTAATAATCTGGCTGCCGCATGTTGGACCAATTGGAATTTCCGGGCGGTCTTCAAGGGCAGCCCCATGTAGAGAGCATTGCAATAGTCCAATCTAGAGGTAACTAAGGCATGGACCACCATGGCCAAATCCGACTTCATGAGGTACGATCCCACAGCTGGCGCACGAGTCTTAATTGTGCGAAGGCCCTCCTGGCCACCACTGACGCCTGAGGTTCAAGCGTAAGTGATGAGTCCAGGAGGACACCCAGACTGCGGACCTGTGTCTTCAGGGGGAGTGCAGCCCTGTCCAGCCCAGGTTGCCACCCTAGACCCTGATCCGGCCTACGACCGCAGGCACTCGTCCAGCACCCGAGGGGCTTCCGTGGAATTAGGTGGAAAGGAGTAGTAGAGTTGGGCATCGTCCACATAGAGATGGCACCGAACTTCAAAACTCCGGATGACCTCTCCCAGCGGTTTCATGTAGATGTTGAAAAGCATGGGGGACAGAATGGAGCCTTGCAGGACCCCACAGGTCAAAGGCCAGGGGTCGTGATGTGCTGGAAGTGATTGTGCCTGAACCCTTGTCCAGTGAGGCTTTGCTGTGAACGATGGCAAACACTAAGCCTTTCCTGTTCTCTTCTGTATGAGGGACAAAAACAAGGGAGGAAGGGCAATGCAAGGACCGCACGGGAATCCTCTTCGGCTTCTGCTGAATTTGCTTTGCAAGCGCGAGCCCTTCCTTCCTTCCTTCCTTCCTTCCTTCCTTCCTTCCTTCCTTCCTTCCTTCCTTCCTTCCTTCTTTCCACATCTCACCTTTCTCCCAGTGCAAGGCCCAAGGTGGCTGACCACAAAGCATCTTACACAAGCCAACGGCTGCAAGGAATGAGACAAGCCAATTCATGAAAGCAAGACAGGAGAGCAGCCGGGCCCCGACGGAGAAGCCACTGGCCACAACCGCAAGGAGTGGCTTATCGACCAAGGCCACGAACCTGACTCTCCAGGGCCAGAGGTCAAGCCGGCAAGGCAGGGGACAATTAAACGCAGCACAAGGAATTAGCCGGGATTTGACCGGGACTCACCCAGGATGGCTTGGACGCGGACGGAGAGCTGTGTGCGCAGGAGCAGGATGGGCCGCCGGCCTTTGCTGCAACGAGAGGAGCGCATCAGCACATCAGCACATCCTCGACCACCTTCCCTGGTAGCCCCCCCCCCAGGAAGCCTTGGGGACCCCCAACACATCTCTGTGCACAAGGACCAAAGGCCTGGAGACCATGAAGAATCCCTATGGAGAGGAGCGGCTTAAAGAGCTGGGTCTGTTTAGCCTCCGAAGAGAGACATACTGAGAGCCATGTGCAAAAGGAAGTTGAAAGGGAGAGGGAGAAGGCTTCCTTTCTGCTGCCCTGGAGATTAGGACTCAGTGGAGCCATGGGTTCAAGTGGCAGGGAAGGAGATCCCACCTCAACACCAGGAAGAATGTATGGATTGTAAGAAGGGCTGTTGAACTGGGGAACTCACTGCCTGCCTGATGGCAGAAGCGGGTTGGACTGGATAGCTCATGCAGTCTCTTCTAACTTTAGGATTCCATCATTGTCATCATTATCAAACAGGGGCTGGATAGCCATCTGTCAGGAGGGCTTTGATTGTGCTTTGTCATAATAATAATAATAATAATAATAATAATAATAATAATAATCTTTATTTCTACCCCGCCACTATCTCCCCAATGGGGACTTGGAGCGGCTTACATGAGGCCAAACCCGGACAACATATTACAGTAAAACCAAAACATAAACAGCAAGCAACATCATCAAAATTACATAAAGAAAGAAGAAAGAAGGGGGTTGGACTGGATGGCCTTTGGGGTCCCTTCCAACTCTATGATTATATAATGACAAGTATGATTAAGCAGAAGCTGGCTGGCCATCTGCTAGGGGTGCTTTGATTGTACTTTCCCTGCCTGGCAGAAAGAAAGAGGTCAGACTGGATGGCCTTTGGGGGACTCTTAAGATTTTATGACTTCTTTTCCCTCCCTCCCTTCTTCCTTCCTTCCTCCTTCCAAGGAGGAGATGCCTCTCACTTAGAATCATAGAATCCTAGAAGAGTTGGAAGAGACCTCCTGGGCCCTCATCCAGTCCAACCCCATTCTGCCAAGAAGCAGGAATATTGCATTCAAAGCACCCCTGACAGATGGCCATCCAGCCTCTGCTTAAAAGCCTCCAAAGAAGGAGCCCCCACCACACTCCCTCCGGGGCAGAGAGTTCCACTGCTGAACGGCTCTCACAGTCAGGAAGTTCTTCCTCATGTTCAGGTGGAATCTCCTCTCTTGTAGTTTGAAGCCATTCTTCCTTTGCGTCCTAGTCTCCAGGGAAGCAGAAAGGAAGCTCCCTCCCTCCTCCTCCCTGTGATATTCCTCTCACATATTTATACCTGGCCCTCATCATGTCTCCTCTCAGCCTTCTCTTCTTCAGGCTAAACATGCCCAGCTCCTTAAGCTGCTCCTCATAGGACTCGTTCTCTAGACCCTTGATCACTTTAGTCGCCCTCCTCTGGACACATTCCAGCTTAGAGTCAACATCTCTCTTGAATTGTGGTGCCCAGAATTGGACACAATTCTTCCAGGTAACGTGGTCTAACCAAGGCGGAATAGAGCATGGGGAGCATGACTTCCCTAGATCTAGACACTGGGCTCCTCTTGATGCAGGCCAACATCCCATTGGCTTTTTTTTTGCCACTGCATTACATTCCTGGATCATGTTCCCCTTCCTCCCCACAAGGACTCCCAAGATCTTTTTCACACGTACTGCTCTCAAACCAGGATGTCCCCCATTCTGTATCTTTGCATTTCGTTTTTCCTGCCAAAGTGGAGTATCTTGCATTTGTCCCTGTTGAACTTCATTTTGTTAGTTTTGGTCCATCATCTCTCTAGTCTGTCAAGGACTCCAAGATCTTTTCCCCTCTCGAGCCAGGCCTCATCGTCCCCCATTCTGTCTCTTTGCATTTCGTTTTTCCTGCCTAAGTGGAGTCTCTTGCATTTGTCCCTGTTGAACTTCATTGTGTTAGTTTTGGTCCATCATCTCTCTAGTCTGTCAAGGACTCCAAGATCTTTTCCCCTCTCGAGCCAGGCCTCATCGTCCCCCATTCTGTCTCTTTGCATTTCTTTTTTCCTGCCTAAGTGGAGTATCTTGCATTTGTCCCTGTTGAACTTCATTTTGTTAGTTTTGGCCATCATCTCTCTAATCTGTCCACGAGGACTCCAAGATCTTTTTCACACGTACTGCTCTCGAGCCAGGCCTCATTGTCCCCCATTCTGTCTCTTTGCATTTTGTTTTTCCTGCCAAAGTGGAGTCTCTTGCATTTGTCCCTGTTGAACTTCATTTTGTTAGTTTTGGTCCATCATCTCTCTAGTCTGTCAAGGACTCCAAGATCTTTTCCCCTCTCGAGCCAGGCCTCATCGTCCCCCATTCTATATCTTTGCTTTTTGTTTTTCCTGCCAAGTGGAGTCTCTTGCATTTGTCCCTGTTGAACTTCATTTTGTTAGTTTTGGCCCATCATCTCTCTAATCTGTCAAGATCCCTTTGAATCCTGCTCCTGTCCTCTGGAGTCTTGGCTCTCCCTCCCCATTTGGTCCCGTCTGCAAACTTGATGATCCTGCCTTCTAGCCCTTCATCTAAGAAGTCATGAATGGAGATCCTGAACAGGACCGGGCCCAGGACGGAACCCTGCGGATGGCACTCCACTCGTCACTCCTTTCCAGGATGAAGAGGAAGCCTTGGGGAGAATCACCTTCTGGGTTTGTACATTTAACCAATTCCAGATCCAAGTTGTTTGTCACTTGGAGACAGCCTGTCTTATCAACCAGGTTTTGGGTTCTGCATTTCTCCTCCTCACCTGACGTCTTCGAAGAACCCCTCCAGCTCGTCCTTCTGCTCCAGGAGGGACTGCTCCAGGTCCAGATAGTGGCCGGAGGGCAGGACTTGCAAGGCGCAATCCTCCAGCTGCAAAACACAAGGAGAGCAAAGCGTCCGTCACTGCCGAGCGAGACTAAGGTCGAGTCCGGAGAGATTTTGACCCCCAGAGTGATAGAGGGAAAACATGTCTGATGTAAACACGGAAAGAGAGGCAACAGCATCATGACAACATGATACAAACACGAGTCTACCAACAATCGGAATGAAAATTGTCGAACCTTCTTTGCAGATATTGATAATAAATAATTTAAGAAAAGTTTTAGTGTGAAATAATCTGCTGTGAAAAATTCATTTACATTGAAGAAGAACTGGAAACGGATCTATGACAGGGTTGTTGTAGGTTTTTTCGGGCTATATGGCCATGTTCTAGAGGCATTCTCTCCTGACATTTCGCCTGCATCTATGGCAAGCATCCTCAGAGGTCGTGAGGTCTGTTGGAACCACAAAAAATGGGTTTATATATCTGTGGAATAATGACCAGGGTGGGACAAAGGACTCTTATCTGCTGGAGCCAGGTGTGAATGTTTCAACTGACCACCTTGATTAGCATTTGATGGCCTGGCAGTTGTTTGGTGTGGCTTGTTAGTGCCTGGGGCAATCATTTGTTGAGAGGTGATTAGCTGACCCTGATTGTTTCCTCTCTGTTGTTTTGCTGTTGTAATTTTTGAGTTTTTTAAGACTGGATTTTCTTGGTGGGTCTGTGGATAGTTTGTAGGTTGTGTTTCCTCATCAGTTTCCCTCTGCGGTCAGTGGTTCCCTTGATGTCTGGCAGGAACACTTTTCCTCTGGGTGGATCTTTGTCTTGACTCTCCTGGCTTGTTCACGGTCTTACAAAGTAAAAAACTCCAAAATTTACAACAGCAAAACAACGGAAACAATCAAGGACATCTAATCACCTCTCAACAAAGGATTCCCCCAGGTACTGCCAGGTCATCAAATGCTAATCAAGGTGGTCAGTTCAAACATTCACCCCTAGCTCCAGCAGACAAGAGTCCTTTGTCTCATCCACAGATATACAAACCCAATTTTTCCTAGTTCCAACAGACCTCACTACCTCTGAGGATGCTTGCCATAGATGCAGGCGAAATGTCAGGAGAGAATGCCTCTAGAACATGGCCATATAGCCCAGAAAAACCTGCAACAATCCCCCCAAAAAACAGAGTTGCTAAACTGTGTGGGAATCTTCAAAAGTCAAAAATGTTTGGAAAATAAAACCAAAAAAACCCAGAAAAACTATTTTTAAAAGTATTTAAAACTATTTATAATGTAGAATGTACATTAATGGGAGTGCGAGGGAGTCACAAGATAATACCAAAGAACAAGAACTGTTCAAAGTAATGATTCGAATAGAACAAGCTGCCATTGCCTGGGGAAACGGACCATAGAAAATGGGAATATCTCCATTTGTGATCAGGTCCAACCTGAAATGATAGCAGATGCCATTTGGGAGGAGGCCCAGAGGGGTCATTCCATGCCAAGTGGTCTCAACCTTCCCACCATCATGTTCTCGAATTTTGTTCAAATTTTAACTCTAGGGCCAGTCGGGTGTTAAATAAGTTTCCCAGAATTTGAGGTCTCTCAACTGCAGTCGCTGCTGAGTGCAGCATTCATCCAAATTAATAATAATAATAATAATAATTATTATTATTATTATTATTATTATTATTATTATTATTATTATTTATATACCGCTCTATCTTCCCGAAGGGACTCAAGGCGGTTTCCAAGACCCAGGGGCTTCCTATAAAGCTGTTCTCCTCCCTACCCTCCCATATGCGAAACGTGGACTGTCTACAGACGTCACACTCAACTCCTGGAACAATTCCATCAGCCTCCAAAAAATCCTGCAAATCTCTTGGATTACTGCAACGCACTCTACGTGGGGTTGCCTTTGAAGACTGCTCGGAAACTCCAACTAGTCCAGCGGGAGGCAGCCAGAGTACTCACCAGAGTGTCATACAAGGAGCACACCACCCCCCTGTTGTGTCAGCTCCACTGGCTGCCGATCCAGTTCCGGGCACAATTCAAAGTGCTGGTTTTGACCTACAAAACCCTATACGGTTCCGGCCCAGCGTATCTGTCCGAACGGATCTCCCTCTACATCCCACCTCGGAGTCTGAGATCCTCTGGGGAGGCCCTGCTCTCAACCCCGCCTCTATCACAAGTGAGATTGGCGTGGACGAGGAGCAGGGCCTTCTCGGTGGTGGCCCCCCGCCTGTGGAATTCACTCCCTGGGGAGATTAGATTGGCAACGTCCCTTCTCTCATTTAGGAAAAAGTTGAAAACCTGGATATGGGACCAGGCATTTGGACATTCTGGCAGCTAAAGAAAGATTTGATGACGAGCTGGAATTTGACGAGACGGAATGGATTTACGGAACTCCGAACGCTGAGCTCAGGATTAGCCCACTACTGTGTTTATTGCACTGTTTTGTATTGATGATTTAATTTGTAACTTTTAATTGCTTTTATATATGTATGTATATGTGATAAAGGCATCGAATTGTGCCTTCCTCTGTAAGCCGCCCTGAGTCCCCCCTCGGGGGTGAGAAGGGCGGGGTAAAAGTGACGGAAATAAATAAATAGATAAATAATGCCAGGCAGAGAAAGGTCAGCACGCTGGAAGAAGCAGCAAAGACCACCAGCACTGAAGCGACGCTCCTCCATCATCACCTCCGCTGCACTGAATTGCTCCAGGAGTTGAGTGTGATGTCTGTCGACAGTCCACATTTCACATATGGGAGGGTAAGGAGGAGAAGAGCTTTATATTGATCACCGTCTCCCCAACTGCAGTTGCTCTACTCCCAACTCAAGAACGGAAAACGGAATGTTGGAGGACAGAAAAAGAGACTGAAAGATGGGATCAAAACTCTGGCATAGACACTGAGAACTGGGAAGCCCTGGCCCTTGAGCGCTCCAGCTGGAGGTCAGCCGTGACCATTAGTGCTGTGGAATTCAAAGAGACTCAAATGGATGGCGAAAGGGAGAAGTGTACCAAGAGGAAGAAGGCACATCAAGCCAACCCTTGATGTGCCTTCCATCTGGAAACTGATGTCCTCACTGTGGGAAAACATGCAGGTCAAGAATAGGGCTCCACCCACGGTTCTCTGTTTAGAAGTGGTGACCCTTGGAGCACCTTCCTGCCTGCCACTCTGCAGCTACCACTAAACCACACTCTCTAGAACCCAGCGGGAGAAAGTCACCACCAGTTTTCCATTCAGTTGGTGTTTCCTTAGGAGTCTCAGGCGGTCCAGTCTCTGCCCGGCCAGATCCTCCTTCTCAGGACACCAGGAACTTGAAACTGGCCATCCGCTCCATGTGGTCTCCAGACCAAGGCCAGTGGCTGACCGCCCTAGTGGTCACTGCCCTGGGCAGTAGCCCTCTCCCTCCATTGGCCTTCCTTCCTTTCCCAGGGCCAGGGCTTGGCCTCCTCCCACTTCCATCCTCTGAGGCATTCTTGGCCTGAAGGCAGGCGAGTCCCAAGGGATCCCAGCCCCTCTGCACCCCCACCCACTTCTGGCAGTGTGTGTGTGTGTGTGTGTGTGTGTGTGTGTATGTCAGGAGCAAGTTGAGAAACTGCAAGTTACTCCTGGCCATGGCAGCCAGGCACCTGGGGGTCCGGCTCCTGGGGTCTGGCACTCGAGGCGCATGTCTCCCTCCCTGGTTGCAACACACTCCGCACGGGGCTGCCCTTGCAAAGCATTTGGAAACTCCTTCTGGCCCAAAGTGCAGCAATTTAGGGACATTTGGGAGAGAGAGAGAGAGAGAGAGAGAGAAAGCAGGGTGAAGACAAACATCATCATCATCTGGAGAGGTCTGCCCGAAGTCTTTGTTGTTGTTTTAGACCAGGCACGGGCACATTTCGGCCCTCCCTCCAGGTCCTTCAACTCCCACAATTCCTAACAGCCGGCTACGAGTTGGCCCTTTATTATTATTACTAGCCGTCCCCTGCCACGCATTGCTGTGGCCCACATGGGGGTTCTGTGTGGGAAGTATGGCCCAATTCTATCGTTGGTGGGGTTGAGAATGCTCTCTGATTGTAGGTGAACTATAAATCCCAGCAACCACAACTCCCAAATGTCAAGATTCTATTTCCCCCAAACTCCACCAATGTTCACATTGGGGCATATTGAATATTCGTGTAGAGTTTGGTCCAGATCTATCATTCTTCAGTTCCACAGTGCTCTCTGGATGAAGGTGAACTACAACTCCCAAACTCAAGGTCAATGCCCACCAAACTCTTCCAGTATTTTCTCTTAGTCATGGGAGTTCTGTGTCCCCAGTTTGGTTCAATTCCTTTGCTGGTGGAGTTCAGAATGCTCTTTGATTGCAGGTGACCTATAAATTCCAGCAACTACAACTCCCAAATGACAAAATAATTTTTTTTGCGTGAAGGACATACATTGGGTTGTTAAGTGTCTTGTGTCCAAATTTGGTGTCAATTTGTCCAACGGATTTTGAGTTCTGTGAATACCACAAACGAACATGACATTTTTATTTATATAGATTATTATTATTATTATTATTATTGACACAAAAGCACAGTACGTCACAGAAAACGAGATCTCTCTGCTGGATTTTGTATCACAAAATCACAAGTCGAACCCTTCCCAAGCATCTAGGACTGTGTGATGTATTTCCGAATGATGTGTGCAGATCCAAGTCAGGTGGCCTTTTGCAGATGACAGATCGGGATTTTGTCAATGTTTAATGTTTCCAAATGCCGGCTGAGATCTTTTGGCATGGCACCCAGTGCGCCCATTATGACCACTGGGAACACCTGGACTGGTTGATGCCATCAGAGCCTTTGCTGTTCGATTTTGAGGTCTTGATAGTGGCTGAGTTTCTCCTGTTGTTTTTCCTCGATGCGACTCTCACTGGAATGGTGACATCCATCATCCAGACTTTTTCCTTTTCCACAATCACGCTGTCTGGCGTGCTTTGTTCCAAAACTTTGTCAGTTTGGATTCAAAAGTCCCACAGTATTTTTGCGTGTTCATTTTCCACGACCTTTGCAGGTTTATGATC